GCTTATGTGGTGCTGAGGAATTGAACCCAGGGTCTCATGCATTCAAGGCAAGTGCTCTACCACTGAGCCACCTTCTCAGCCCCTGAGACTCTTACCACCAGTTAACCACCAAAAGGCCAGAAATGGCTCTGGCTTGAGCACAAAAACCCAGAGACAGCACACAGACCAGCATCAAAACAATGTAGATGTGTGTGTGTGCGCGTGCACTTGAAAAATATGGAAAATACTTTAAAATATTTTCTACTGCTGTTTGAAGGTTGATACTTAGCTCATATGTGCTGTAATAGTAATCTGGTCTGTATCCTTTTTTGTTGTTGTTGTTTTTTGTTTTTGTTTTTTTTTTTTGGGTCCGGTCGTGGGGCCTGAACTCTGGGTCTGGACACTATTCTTCAGCTCTTCAGCTCAAGGCTAGCACTCTACCACCTGAGCCACAGCGCCACTTCCGGCTTTTTTTCTTTTTGCTTATGTGGTGCTGAGGAATCGAACCCAGGGCCTCAGACATGCAAGGCAAGCGCTCTCCCACTGAGCCACCTTCCCAGCCCTGGTCTGTATCCTTGTATATCTTTCAGTATAAGAGACTGAAAATGGATGGCATTACTTTTTGGGCCTGGACGTTGTTCCTCAGCTCTTCAGCTCAAGGCTAGCTCTCTACCACTTGAGCATAGCTCCACTTCTGGCTTTTTCTGCTTATGTGGTGCTGAGGAATCGAACCCAGGGTCTCATGCATGCAAGGCAAGTGCTCTACCACTGAGCCACCTTCCCAGTCCAACAACTGTAATTATATCTTATTTTCTCTCTTCAGAATCAGTCACTGAAGAAAAATACCAACCCATCTTCTACATTGGTTCTTAGAACATTGGTTCTCTGTATCTCTGACCTGGATTATTTCTGTAGTTTACTAAATGGTCTTTATCTTAATTTGCTCTCAAGCCACTTTGCCTAATGTTGTAGAATAGTCCTTAAAATAAATTTCTTATTTTCTCATTTTTACTAATCTCCTTTCATCCCCTTCAATTACAAGATAAAGTCCAAACTTCTCAACTGTTTGAAAGGCCCTTTGTAATTGGGCTTAAATTTTTTAAGCTTAATCCTGTTACATTGCATTCTACCTACCTGCTCTGTGCCTAAGTTTTAGTCATTCCCAATTATTTGTAGTTCCCAACTGTATACAGGAACAGAACCTCTCATTTTTATACTTCCTGGTCCTCCTGCCTCATCAGACCATTTCTAATTTAGATAAAACCTCAATTGCCCATTGTAGTGTTCCATAAATTTCATTCATGCTCTCTTGTGTGCCATTTCATTTAGACTAATATGTATTGTGCTTGTTTGTTCCTTTGTTACTCAACAATTGTATTTTATGCAGGATAATTCTTGTTTTTTTTGGGGGGGAGCGCGGTTTGTGGGTTGTGGGACTTGAACTCTGGGCCTGGACGGTATCCCTCAGCTCTTCAGCTCAAGGCTAGCACTCTACCACTTAAGCCACAGTGCCACTTCTGGTTTTCTGAGTGGTTTTATTGGAGATGAGTCTCACAGAGTTTCCTCCCTGGGCTGGCTTTGAACTACGATCCTCAGATCTCAGCCTCCTGAGTAGCTAGGATTACAGGTGTGAGCCACTAATTACTGGCGCAGAATAATTCTTGTAGGGGGCTTTTCTGTATTTTGTAGAATGGTTAGCAATCTCCCTGATCTGATCCCTATCAGATTCCAGCAACATCCTTCCAGTGTGTCAAGCAAAAATCTTTATAGACATTGGAAGATATTTCCTGGTGGGAAAATTCCTCCACTTAGGAATCATTGCTGTTTGAATAAACTGCTTGAATTATGTGGTTGAATTATGTGGTTGTAATACCAGTATTGCATTGAACTGATGGTCTTCATTCACTGTGTAATACCTTTTGATGATTTCCCATCATATATTGCAATAGCCCCATACTCAAGGCCCTGAAACTTTGTCCTACATAGACCCTTAAAGACTTGGTGGAGGTTCTGTAAGGTGCGCCAGTGGCTCATACCTATAATCCTAGCTATTCAAAAGGCTGAGATGTGAGGATCAAGGCTCAGAGCCAGCCCTGGCAGACAAGCCCTTGAGACCAAATTAACTAGACTATAATTAACCAAAGAGATAGATGCGAGATAGGTAGACTCACTAGATAGACAGATAAATAGATGTATATTATATGCTGGAATAGAAAAAAAAGACAAGATTGAAAGATTTTAGGAGAGAACAGTGTTTAAGAACAAAATAGAAATTCTAAAAATGTAATAACTAAAATGAATTCAGAATTTAACACCAATGAAACACAGCTGAAGAGAAGTAGTGAACTAAGTTTTCTCAGAAGAGAAAAGTTCAGAATAATGCATACAGAGACAGGAATAAGAACCTGAAAACAATGTAATAGAACAGGGTAAACCTGAAGCAACTGGAGGTCCAGCAATAGGGAATATAGTTAAAAATGCTTAAGTTATTTCCTAGAGCTTAGGAAAATCAAGCAACAGATTTCAAAGGCCCCACAAACCTCAAGCAAAATGTAATAAGTTGGGGCTGGGAAGGTGGCTCAGTGGTAGAGCACTCGCCTTGCATGCATGAGGCCCTGAGTTCGATTCCTCAGCACCACATAAGCAAAAAGAAAAAAGCCGGAAGTGGCGCTGTGGCTCAAGTGGTAGAGCGCTAGCCTTGAGCTGAAGAGCTAAGGGAGAGTACCCAGGCCCAGAGTCAGGCCCCAGGACCCTCAAGAAAAGAAAAAGAAAAGGACCAGAGAACTAATGAACATGAAAAAAAAACTCAGTTGAGAGGAGGATAATCAGAGTAAAAGTTTTTTATTCATGGAAGTTAAGTTGTAGATTTATATTGAACTTGAACATTCCAAGTTGTATGTTGTGACAGGAAGGGTTTTTTTTTGTCGGCCATGGGGCTTGAACTCGGGGCCTGGGTGCTATCCCTGAATTCTATTGTTCAAGGCCAGTGCTCTACCACCTTGAGCCGCAGCTGGTGGTTTATTGGAGATAAGAGTCTCACAGACGTTCCTGCCTGGGCTGGCTTCAAACTACAATCCTCAATCTCAGCCTCCTGAGTAGCTAGGATTATAGTTGTGAGCCACTAGCACAGTTTAGCAAGATTTTTGAAAAGAAGACAAAAATAGTTTATAAAAGAATACTAGTCCAAATAAAAGTGAGAAAGGAAAGAACAGAGCATATAGGGGTAAAAATTGGAGAGATGATAAATTCAAATGTATCAGAAGTTGCATTTAACGTAATGGATGGGCTGAGACTGTAGCTCACTGGTAGACTACTTGTCTAGTATACTTTTAAAAAGCTCTGGGTTCTATCTCCAGAAATGCAACAAGAAAAAAATTATAGAGCTGGGAATGTGGCTTAGTGGTAGGTGCTTGCCTAGCATGCAGGAAGCTCTGGGTTCAGTTCCTCAGTACCACATAACAGAAATAGCCAGATGCTCAAGTGGTAGAGTGCTAGTCTTGAACACAGAGAGTCAGGGACAGTGACCAGGCCCAGTGCCTAAGCTCCAGGACCAGCAAGACCAGCATCAGGTCAGGCACTGGTGGCTTATGCCTATAATCCTAGCTACTCAGAAGCTTGGTATTTGAGGATCACTGCTCAAAGTCAGCCCACGCAGGAAAGCCCATGAGTCTCATCTTTAGTTAACCACCAAATAGCCAGAAGTGGTACTGTGGCTCAAGTGTAAAATGCTAGCCTGGGTAAAATGCCCAGGCCCTGAGTTCAAGCCCCAGTACTAGAACAAGGATCAAATGACATCCAGCCATATATATATATGTATATATATGCATATATGTGCATATATATGTATATATATATATATGAGAAATACCTAAGATGCCAAGTTATAGAAATGAAAAGTAAAAGTTTTTTTTTTTTAAAGGTAAGTATGGATCAGGCTGAGCTCTGAATTGTAATGAGGGTTGGCCCAGGCATAAACAAGCCAGGGCTCACTAAGCCTAGCTACTCAGGAGGCTAAGATCTGAGGATCATGGTTTGAAGACAGCTAGGGCTGAAAAGTCCTAGTGCTTTCCTAGATTTAACCTAGAATGTGTAAACACACTGGAGGTGTGGCTCAAGGGACAGAGCCAGCCTTGAGCAAAAAAGCTAAAGGGGGCTCCGAATTCAAACCCCAGTACTAGCACCGAAAGAAAGAAAAAAAGAAAGAAAGAAAGAAGGAAAGAAAAAGAGAGAAAGAAAGAAACAGAAAGAAAGAAAAGACTGAAGAGTAACAAAAAAGATTTGAGCGCATTGCTCAAGTGGTAGATTGCCTGCCTGGCAAGTTCAAATTTTAGGGCCAACAAAACAAAATCCACGAAGTCTCATAAAATGTGGGCATGTGGGCTGGAGAGCCTGGATCTCCAGAATGTGGCTCAGGGCTTGGTTCAATCCTAGCACCAAAAAAAAAAAAACAAAACTAAAATGATGTTGTTGCTATATTCAAACAATTTCTACAGAAAATATGCTGGTAGAGAAGAATGACAGTTGACAATGATAAAGGTTTAATTCACTAGGAAGTTTTTTTGTTTTTTTTTTCCAGCACCCCAAAGCTGGGTGCTGGTGGCTCACGCCTGTAATCCTAGCTACTCAGGAGGCTGGGATCTGAGGATCGCGGTTCAAATCCAGCCTGGGCAGGAAGGTCCTTGAAACTCTTATATCCAATAAACCACCAGAAAACTGGAAGTGGTGCCGTTGCTCAACTGGTAGAGCGCTCACTTTGAGCTGAAGAGCGCAGGGACAGCACCCAGGCCCAGAGTTCAAGACCCACGACCAACAAAAAACAAAACAAAACAAAAAAAGGAGTCTTCCGGACTTTACTGCCAGGGCTGGCTTTGAACCAGGATCCTCAGATCTCAGCCTCCTGAGTAGCTAGTATTACAGGCGTGAGCCATGGGCACCTGCAGGACTACTTATTAGACTACTTATTAGACTGAAAAGACAACAACTGGTGTTGATGCGGTGGTAGGAAAATCGGAACCTTTCCTGCTACCTTTGACGGAGCACATACTAAAACTGAAATACAGTAATTGATTAGCAAGGCCTTGGCTCAAGAATGACAAGCATAATCATGAAATGTTCCATATTTTTATGTCCATCTTTCCCTCAGAGTTCTGGGGCCCTGGCATAATCAGAGGAAGGAGACATAAGAAAGTACAGTAGCTGAACTTCTAGCTATCTCAGGGTGGAGAGAGCATATGCCTCCCATCCCCCCTACCTTTGAGCCAAGCCTCCCAGGCCTCTACCCAGCCAGAGGTTCCTGAACCTTGGTAAGGAGTGAGGGTATTTGTAGTAGCCCAGCTTCCTGGGACTGGTGCAACTTGAACCTACAATCCGCGAAAGGAGTTGCCAGCCCTCACTCAAGCTGGCTGGAAGCTTTTTATTTAGCTATGTAGTGACTGTCTCCAGCTCACAGGGCTTTGGAAGACAGCCCCATTTGCTTTTCATGGGGGATTTTTATAGGAAAGGGTTAGCTGTAGCAAGCTAGCAAGGTTACAGAAGCAACATAGCCTTGAGCCCCAAGAGCCTAGGCAAAACAATCTTGATTTGGTCAGCATGACCAATACTGTCAATGCTATTGATACTATTGATACTTGATTACAAAAAGTCAAAACATATCCTTGGATTACAAATGTCAAAATACAATCTGGTGGGGGTAGTCTATTTCATAGAAATGATTTTTTTTTTGGGGGGGGGGGGTCCGGTCGTAGGGCCTGAACTCTGGGCCTGGGCGCTGTCCCTCAGCTCTTCAGCTCAAGGCTAGCGCTCTACCACTTGAGCCACAGCGCCACTTCCGGCTTTTTGCTTTTTGCTTATGTGGTGCTGAGGAATCGAACCCAGGGCCTCATGCATGCAAGGCAAGCGCTCTACCACTGAGCCATCTTCCCAGCCCCAGAAATGATTTTTTTAAATTATAAGCTCCTGACTAATATGACAACTCACTGCAGCTGGTGGTAAGCCTCAAGGTTGTCAGTGACTTCAGCAAAGTTAGTGGTACACTACAAAGCTGCCAGCTTGGTAAACTTGAGTGAGGGAGAGATGTTCTTTTGCTTTTTAGCAAGGATGTAAAGCAGCCTTAGGCTGGAGTTTTTCTTTACCAAGAGGTTTTGGCCTTTGTCAATAATTTTGTTCTGTTTTCTGATTTCACATTTTCGTTCTGATGGATATCCTTCTTCTCCAAGGGAAAGAGGCTGGGGGGAGAGAGTAAACTTCCTGTAGCAGGAGGGACTGAGGCCAGACAATAGAAGGAACTTTCTGCCAGTGAATAGTAACTCATATAGCTTGAATTTTTGGTGAGAATTATCACAGTATTGACCAATACTGCCTTTCTCCAGGTCTGCCCATCCCCTCTGTTTCTTTTTTTCTTTTTTTTTTGGTCGTGGGGCTCGAACTCTGGGCTTGGGCACTGTCCCTGTGCTCTTAAGCTCAAGGCGAGGGCTCTACTGCTTGAGCCACAGTGCCACTTCCAGTTTTCAAGTGGTTTTTATTGGAGATAAGAATTTCACGGATTTTCCTGCCTGGGCTGGCTTTGAACGGAGATCCTCAGATTTCAGCCTCCTGAGTAGCTAGGATTACAGGCCTGAGCCACGGGCACCCGGCTTCCCATTTCTTTAGAAACATTTCTATTAGCATATATTACTTGTGCTGATTTTTATTGTAACATTTCATTATATGATTACAATATATCTTGATTAGACTTAGCTCCTTGATCTCACCTCTTCTCCCTCCTTAAACCAACCAGTTTCATTGTCTTATTTTCATATAAGAATGTAAAATACTACAAGCTGGACACCCGTGGCTTATGCTTATAATCATAGCTGACACTGAGGTTTGAAGCCAGCTCAGGCAGAAAAGTTTGCTGGGAGCTAATCTCCAAAATAACCAGCAAAAGCAGGGAGACATGCCAGCTGAACAAGCACAAGACCCTGAGATCAAATCTAGGTACCAACAAAAACAAAAACAGAAACAAAAAACCAACAGCTTCAACTACATTCACCCTATCAGTTTACCCTTAGCCTCCGAAGACTTGTTTTATATTCCTGCCATTTGTTTTCTAAATGTATGTTAATTATTCAAAGAAGTTTCTTCATGGTATTTCACACATGTGTTTACTGCACTTTGATTGGATGCCTCTATTAGTCTCTCCTTACCCATGCCCTTACCCTCTATTATTTTGTGAGGTTTCTGTGAACTTTCCATGAGTTTTGTTATGCTATCTTAATGCGCAGATACAATATTTTTCAATATTCACCCTCTATTATTTTTTGCCTCTCTCCATATTCCCTAATCTACTTTTATGAACTTTATATATATGTGTATATGTACATATGTCTGTATATATGTATACATACATAGATGATCATGTATGTATATAGCTTATGTTTGAGTATATCATATATATAGTACATATAATGTGTATATATAGTATATTATGTATATATAATGTATATAGTGTGTATATATATATCATGTATATATATCATGTATATATAGTAATATATCACATATGCATATATATGGTCATGTATATAAATATATAGCTTACGTCTTTGAGTATAGCTTTCATATATGAGAGGAAAAAATGCAACCTTTCTCTTTCTGAACCTGGTTTAACATGATACTCCCTAGTTTTCATTTTCCTGAAATGTTTTCATTTCTCTGAAAACTTAATTTCCTTCTTCTTTATGACTGTGTTTGCACACCATAGTTTCTTGATCCATTTGGGCTGTTTTCATAAACTGGAAGTGGTGCTGTGGCTCAAGTGGTAGAGTGTTCACCTTGAGCTGAAGAGCTCAGGGACAGTGCCTAGGCCCAGAATTCAAGTCCCATGACCACCACAACTATCACCACCAACAACAAAAACTAAAGTTTTCTGAGGCATCTTCATACTGCTCTTCATAGTGGTTGCACTAATTTGCAGTTCCACCCATAGTATATTGGAGTTCCATTTTCTTTGCAAACTCACTAGCATTTGTTGCTCATGTTTTGTTGTTGTTTGTTGTTTTGTTTTTGTCGGTTGTGGGGCTTGAACTCAGGACCTGGATGCTGCTGTTCCTGAGCTTCTTTTGCCCAAGGCTAGTGCTCTACCTCTTCAGCTACAGCACCACTTCTGGTTTTTGAGTGATTAATTGGGTATAAGAGTCTCAAGGGAACTTTTCTGCGCAGGCTGGCTTCAAACTGTGATCTTCAGATCTCGGCTTCCTGAGCAGCTAGGACTACAGGTGTGAGCCATCAACATCTGGCCTGTTGCCCATATTCTTGTTGATGACTATTCTGACTGGAGTGAGGTGAAAACCTCAGTGTCATTTTTATTTGCATTGCTTTTGTAGCCAGGGATATTGAGCATTTCTTTCTTTCTTTTTTCGGTCGGTTGTGGGGCTTGAACTCTGGACTTGGGCGCTGTCCCTGTGTCTTCAGCTCAAGGCAAACACTTTACCGCTTGAACCACAGCACCACTTCCAGTTTTCTAGTGGTTAATTGAAGATAAGAGTCTCACAGACTTTTCTGCCTGGGCTGGATTTGAACTGTACTCCTCAGATCTCAGCCTCCTCAGTAGCTAGGATTACAGGCGTGAGCCACCGGCGCCCGGCTTGTTGAGCATTTCTTTATGTATTTATTGTCAATTGATACTTCTTTCAAGAATTGTGTGCTCAGTTTATTTGCCCATTGTTGATTTTTAGGGAGTTTTTTTTTTTTTGTCAGTTGTGGGGCCTGAACTCTGGGTCTGGGCCCTGTCTCTCAGTTCTTCAGCTCAAGGACAGCGCTCTACCACTTGAGCCTCAGTGCCACTTCCAGCTTTTTCTGCTTATGTGGTGCTGAGGAATTGAACCCAGGGCCTCATGCATGTGAGGCAAGCGCTCTACCACTGAGCCACCTTCCCAGCCCGGGAGTTTTGTTTTTTTTTTTTAGCTCCCTCTATGTTATTAATCTCTTGTCAGATAAAAAGTTGCAAAGATTTTTTTTTCATTCTGTGGGCTGTCTTTTGAGCCTAGTGACTATGTTGTGAAGAAACTTTTAAGTTTGATGAAATCCCATTTGTCAATCTTTACTCTTATTTGCTGAGTTCTATTCAGGAAGTAATTATCTATGCCTATATGTTCCAATGTTTCTTTATTCTTTCCTGTAGTAGTTTCAAAATGTGAGGACTTATATTAAGATCTTTGGTCCATTTTGCAGATTCTTGCAGAGCAATAGAGATCTAGTTTCAATCTTCCACATGTGGATTTCTAGTTTTCCCAGAAATATTTGTTGAAGTGACTGTCTTTTCTCTGATGTATGTTTTGAGCTCCTTTGTTAAAAAGCAGATAGATGGCTATGGACTTATTTCTGTGTCTTCTATTCTTTTTCATTGATCTTGTGTCTATTTATGTTCTAGCACTGTGATGAGTTAGTTTTTATTAAGTTGTTATTATTATTAAGTTGTATTAAGTGCTTACTATTACATGCCATGCTTTGTTTGTTGTTGTTATTGTTGTTTTTAAATTACTATGGCTCAGAGGTTTGAATTCAGGTATTGTGATATTCCTAGCACAACTCTTTTTACTCAGGATTGTTTTTGCTACTTGAGGTCTTTTGTGCTTCCAAAGAAACTGTAGAATTAATTTTTTTATATGAAGAATGTCATTGAATTTTAATGGGAGTGCATTTTATCTTCAATTTCTTTCTTCAGTGACTTATAGTTTTCATTGTAGAGTTCTTTTTTTTTTTTGTCAGTTGTGGTGCCTGAACTCTGGGCCTGGGCGCTGTCCCTCAGCTCTTCAGGTCAAGGCCAGCTCTACCATTTGAGCCACAATTCCACTTGTGCTTTTTTCTGCTTATGTGGTGCTGAGGAATCGAACCCAAGGCCTCATGCATGGGAGGCAAGCACTCTACCACTGAGCCACCTTCCCAGCCCAAAGGTTTTGTTTTCTTTTCTTTTTTCTTTTTCTTTTTTTTTGTTAGTAATGGGGCCTGAACTCTAGGCCTGGGCACTGTCCCTCAGCTCTTCAGCTTAAGTTGAGTGCTCTACCACTTGAGCCACAGCTCCACTTCCAGTTTTCTGAGTGGTTTATTGGAGATAAGAGTCTCACAGAGACTGGCTTTGAACCGAG